TTTAATCTGAGTGATCTTAAATAAATTGGAAGGCATTTAAGTCTAAGTATAGAATATAGTTTTTTTCTTTTTTATTAAAACAGGGTCTCACTATGCAGTTCAGGCTGGCCTTAAGCCCACTTTGTAGCCCAGGTTGGTCTTGAACTTGCAATGATCTTCCTGCCTCAGTCTCCCGATTGCTGGGAATATAAGCATGGGACATCATGCCTGGCTGTGCATCTTTTTTTTGGTACCAGGGATTGACTCACAACCTTGCACTTGCCAGGCAGGCACTGCTGAGCTAAATCCCTGGCTCTCTTTCTTTTATTTGCTTTGTTTTGTTTTTTGGTTTAAGACCTGAGACTGACCCCAGGGCATGCCAACCATGTACTCCCCAGACTCTAATTTTTCTTTGGACCTTATTTGACCTTGAAAAGTAAACACAAACAGCATTCTTTAGTAGTCTGATCGATTTTTGTTACTCTACCATCTGCAGGTTAAGTACCCTGCAGTGAAAACCTTATTAAAACAAAACGCGTGTTTGAAATACTAGCTGACATTTTGAACGTTGTTTCAGAAAAGAGTAATCAACACACAACTCAAAATTCTGCCATAACAACAGAGATACTCACATGGGCACTGAATCTCAAAAATGGTACGTGTACCTACAGGAGTGATTCTGTTTTGGGATGAAGATCCAACTGCAAACAGAAACATGAAAAGATAGATATAGATAGACAGACAGATAGATGAAATTCTGTCTACAGTTTCATACTACCCCATAAATAGGCATGGAGCAAGAACTTGGTGTGGCAAGAACTCTGCCTTAAATAATACGAGGATTCTTTGGGGGTGATAGAAGGGGAGATGTTCTCATGAAACATACCTACAAAGATACAGAAAAAGACAGGGAAGCCCATCTTTCCAACTCCCTGAGTCTGGCCTGAAGTCAAGCCGTTCCTTTTTTTTTCAGTTCAGGCTGGCTTTAAACTCATTATGTAGCCCAACCTGACCTTGAACTCTTGGCAGTCTTTCTGCCTCTGTTTCCCCAAGTGCTGGGATTACAGCCAAGTGTCACCACACCCAGCAAACTGTTCCAAATTCAAAACTGCAACTGCTAACTTTTCTCCAGATAGTTAGAAGAAGTTAACTGAGGGAAGAAGTAATGTTTCATCGTTTCTAGCTGTAACTTGTTGATACTCATTTCCTGTTTCGTGACCCTGGTTCCAAAAATAACTCTAGTGCTGTCCAACTGCTTATACGTGGCGTATTCTTTATTCTTATTTGGGAAGGCACATTCCCTTCTACAGCTGAAGAAACTCAGTGTTTGAAAAGAGCTGCTGCAAAAACACTTCCCTCTAGTCCTTTAAAAATGTTCAGCATCTGAATGCTGGCAAGGAATGCTCACACCCAGCTCCCGAGCTGTGTGGGCTGAGCAAGAGGAAAAATGAGGGCCCTATATATGGGAAACAGGAAGCTGAGCCCTATTTGTATGTGGCCATGTATGCGCCATAAACTGGTCAGGTTCCCAGAGAAGAACCAGCCTTAATGCTAATAGGGATCCACTGCAAATTGGGTACAAAGCTTCTGATATTTTCTACCAAGCACTAAGCCAAGAAATGAAGCACAGTTATCGCCTCAAGACAGAGACTGTATAGTTAGTTAGTTGGTGGGTGCTTGGTAGCAAGGTTAAACCCCACAGCATCTTCAGCAGAGAACTGAGCCTGAGTCTTAATGGAAGCCCCCCCCCAAAAAAAACAGTTGCAAAGTAGATTAACTTCTCTGCATTACATATTTGCATATTACTTGTATATCTGGATATAGAAAAAAGGGGGAACTGGAAGGATTATCTTACCCTTTCTTGTTTTTCAGAATGTCAGTAATCCCCACATTTCTGTTTTAAAAGAGCATCATCAGTGTCTTCAGAGCAAAGGTTCCTCATGCTTTCGCAGTCAGTCAGAGTATCATAGGATGTTATCAAAGACCTCTGTTCCTTTGATCTCTACCCACGCATTTTTTTTAATGCTTAAGGAAGGAGTTACAGTGTAATTAACTGGAGGTGACTGATAAGAAAAATATATCTAGATCACTTTGTAAAACAGTTCTTTAAAAGTACCCAAAGACTTACCAATCTCCTGGAAGGAGGCATCATACATAAATCACTCACAATAAAACCCAAGTCCCCTTGGTCAGCCAGGCTACTTGCAGGATTACTTTCTTTAACTAAATCTTTGAGTGCAGCATTTTCATCACATGGAATTGCCTAACTCTGCACTTATACCCACATTTTCTCTTTACTGCTATCAGTGTTGGAACTGGTCTCCACTCATGAACCCCAAATCTGATTTGAAATGTATCCCTATGAATCTCTTCTGAATTCTAAAATTACTTTCTTTATTTATATGGTGATCATACAATTTAACACCCTTTTGAGAGTCAAAAGGCTGCTATTAATAATTACACTTCAGAGGCTGGGGATTTAGCTCAGCGGCATAAGCACCTGCCTTGCAAGCAGGCAGTCGTGAGTTCAATCCCCGGTACCCATAAAAATGAAAAAGACAATAAATAAATAAATAATTACATTTCAACCATAGGCTCTCTGGGGGTTATTTTGGATACTAAATTTAAGGTTACCCTGTTTATTTAAAAATGATCTTGCCTGGATTGTACCAGTCCATGGGAAAACTTGAGTTTAGATACATGTCTATTTTCACTACACAGGTATTCACCCTTTGACCTAATCCGATGGGGTTTTGCCTTCTGGCAGTTCTTATACTTGGAAATGATTTATAAATGAATGTGTGGTAAAGAGCCATCTACATTTCAAAGATCACCTAGTAGTGACACCAAAACTAAATAACTAAACCAATGTTAGTTATTTGATATAACTATGACTTAAAAGATAGGAGAAAGCTACTTATAATAATTAGAAGATTGTGCAGGTAAAAGAATTCGGCATCTTTTTACTGCTGTGCCCAAATACCTGAGAAAAACAACTTAAAGGAAGTTTATTTGGCATGTGAGTTTAGGGGTTTCAGTACATGGCCAGATCAAGGGAAAAATATAATGGTGGAAGGACACAGCAGTGGACCTAAGACAGTCAGGAATCAGGGGAAGAAGCTTGTTTCAGGGAAGGGGCACTCCCAGTGATTTCTTTCCTTCAATTACACCACGCATCCTAACAGCCTCTTTGGCTATGGGATATGAAGTGGATTCATCCATAGCATGAAATTACAGTCCTAGGGACCCCATCAGTTCCACAGAGCCCAGCTAACAACCACAGTCCAGATGAGCTTTCGGGGGGGTCATTCTAAATGCATCCACAGCAGGAGGGTATGAATTTTTCTAAATTCGTTATACTAATAACATATTAGATCATGACATGGTCTAACAAGGGGCCCTTACTATCCCTATTTACTAGGATTTCTCAATGAGTAGGGTTGGGCTTACCAGTTTGTTTAAATATTCTTAAGTTTGAGTTATCTGACTGTCCACCTACTAGTACTTGTTTAAACTTACCTAATCATTTACTGCTTTTCTCAGAGAGGTTTCATTCCTTCTTTCCTTAAAACTCTCCGTTTCTTGATACTCATATCAAACTGATACTCATATCTCAGTTTAGGCGAATGCTTGAGCCTGGTTCCCTGGAGAACCAGACTCACTCAATCACTCATCAAGTAGTAGCAGTGAGGCTTGGAACAGAATTTTAAAAAGTGATTTTGATTGTCCTCGAGGAACTAATTGAGAGTTGTGTAAACGTGAACCTCACTAAGGATCTTGCAGCAGATTGTTAAAATCTCCCTCAGAGAGGGCAGTCTGAGAAACATAGTGCAAACTGAGCATGATTAAATCATGCTTTATCTTTTGAACTATGATACTATTTCCTGCCCTGAGCCCAGGCCAAGTCTGATTAATTTTGAACCATGACAAAATCAGTTATGTTTAAACTCAAGAATGTGGAATTCTAACAGTAGCTTTAGCGTTGGGGTGCTAACATAAAAACACCATTTGAGCTCTGAGATTTACCGACTACTACTTGGGAAAAGAGCTGCTCATTTCTTAGCGATCTTTGGAGGTCTGTACTGGCTAAGTCACACATTTGATTTTGCTGGTGAGTCAAGTGCAGACGTTTAGACAGACGGGATGGCAGTATTTTTTTTTTCCTTCTTGTATTTAAAACTGGCAGTCTGCTGAGTGTGGTGGTGCATGTCTGTAATCCCAGCACTCCAGCGGCTGAGGCAGGAGAATCACTTTGAATTTGAGGCCAGCTTAGACTACAAACTGAGCTCAAGGTCAAAAAGACCAACCAACCAACCAACAAAACAAACGCAAAAAGCAAAGACTGGCAGTTGAAGGGGCATTTTGGTCTCTAGTCTCCTTCACCGGAAACCCTGTCCCTCAGGTCCTAAGTCCAATGATTTATGCCCTGCTCCTAGTGGGCCCTGCAGCGCAGCGGACTCTGACTCTCAAGGTGCCCAGCCTAACTAACACCGCGCGTTCCCCTCCTCTATAAAATTCTTTCCAGCTCCCAACTTCAAATTCCAAAGGATCGAGGTGAAAGAGAAGCTGAGCCTTCAGGATAAATCTTCTCATCCTAACTCACCACACCCGGACCTCCTGCTACATTTACCAAACTCAAGCACCCAAGCGCTCCATCGCCCCTTCCTGGACGCCTCCTCTCTCCCGAGCCTCCCCTTTCTCTGAGGCCCAGACCAAGCGCGCAGTCGCTGCACGAACAGGTTTCTGCCAATTCCCTGCCCAAAGGGCAGCTCTGTTCCCGACCAGATCAGGGAAGGCGGCCAAGCGCTCCCGGCAGCAGGCGGGGTTTCCACGGTAAAGGAGTCCGGTCCTCTCGGGCTCCGGGCGCTGGCACCGCTCGCTCCGCAGCGGCCTCCCACCCACGTGGGCCCGGGCCGGGTGCGACCCGCCCAGCCCAGCCCAGCCCGATCGCCGGCTCCCGGGTCTCCGCGCTGCGCTCCCGCCTCCTCCTCCTCCGCCCGCCGCTGGGCGCCGCGGGGCTGTGACGCGGCCGGCAGGAACGCGCTTCCGGAGGGGCGGCGGGCGGGCTTCCTGCGGCCGCCCCGCCTCCTGCCTGCCCCGCCGCGGCCCGGAGAGGAGGCGCCCGAGAGCCAGCGGGGCACCGGGCGCGGAGCAGCGGCGCCGGGAAGGTAGGGCCGGGCGGAGGCGGGCGGGCGCGGTTCCTGCCGCTCCGGGGCGCACGGCCGGGCCGGTTCCGCGGGAAGCGGCGCGGCGCTGTCCCGGCGAGCGCGGCGCCGGCGGGAGCGCGGCGAGGCCCGGACCCGACCCGGCGGTTCCGAGCGGCCGCCGCTTTGTCCGCGCTTCCGCCGCCAGCTGCCCGTCCGGGCCGGGGACGCCGTGCGCTCCCGGCCTGAGCTCTTGCGGCCCCGGGAGCGCGGCGCTGCGGGGAGGTCGGGGGACGTGGATTCGGGCCCAGCCAGGATCAGAACCAGTACCGGGACGCGGGGCCCAGGCCCAGCCGGCTGGATCCCAGCGCTCTCCGGAGGCTACAGGGCTGGGAAGCCCAGTGTGTGTCTCGGAGCGCTGAGTCTCCGAAGAGGGAACTGTGATCGGGAGCCTGGCGCCTCCCGGGGGTCCAAGGAGGCGGGCGTCCGGGGCCGGGCTGGGAGCTGGGGAGAACCCTGGTGCGACCCCGCTTCCAGCCGGGCCCCAGGCGATCTGCGGTGCAGCCCCACTGGGGTCGGGGCCGGGCCGGAGGGATGCCGGATCCCCACCTCACAGAAGAATCGAGGTTCAGGGAGTAGAAGGAATCCGCCCCTGGTCATCCCGGATTCCCCGGGGCCTAGCTCCAGAGCTGAGTTTGAACTCTAACCAACAGCAGTGTAGTTGTTAAAATCAAATGTCAGACATCCGATCCCTTCTCATCCCTTCTTGGAATATTAGATTTTAAAAAACATTTTACGGTGTCGACGGTAGCATTCTTAGTGAGGTTTTTTGGGGGCTGCATTCCAAGTAGATCCTTAGGTGGGGTAGGATTCCTAGATCCTTCTGTATTGTTTTGGAGGCGTAAAAGTAAATGAGGGGTGAATTTGGATCAGATTCCTTACTTAAACCGTCTGCACCCTTCAGGTCATACACTGGGACATTTATATAAATGAATGAGGACTTTTGTTGGAAGTTAACCTAATCCGTATTTGTGGGCGTCAAGGCTTAACTATTCTCTATTTATATGGACATTAAGAGAACAGGACTTAAGACTCCCACTAATAATGTCCACATTTTAAATAATTGTTCATTGATCCACGTTAAACAGGACCCTGAAAAAGGTATAGTCAGGAATAGAAGTCAGATGAAACAGATGAGTATTTTGTGTCCAGGCATTTGGGGAAAGTAGACTTTGTTATTAGAATGTTAATTAAAAAGCCGGGGAATGTGGTTAGTACTTAAGTAAAGCGAAAGCAAAATACATTCCAGCCACACTCACTTAATGACTTGACAGATAGTTTTAAGTACTTGATTTTTTTTTTTTTAAGAATGTAAAGTTCTACAACCTACCCCCTCAACCATCTGTGACATGTAGACAAGGAAATTAGCAGTTTTGAAAAACAGTGCATTTGGTAATTTTGACACTCAGGCAGTTTTTTTTTTTTTTTTTTTTTTTTAACTTGCTGGTCAGTATAGTTTAAAGTTACCACTTTGGAATAAAATGTGGTTCTACACTGATGTTGATGAATTCCTGACTCCAGAAAGGACGCTGGAAATGTCTCCTCACTTTGTCATACTGAACATGAATCTGCCAGTTTGGCCTGGTGCTGGTTTTCTTGAGAGTGCTTGCCACCTAATGTGGTGCCTCTGTTTCGCTTCTTGCTGGATAAACTGTGGCATGTGTATGTGGGGGTGTGCAGGATGGTACTCGACCCAAGGAAGCTTTCTCCCTAGCCTTTTGTGAGTATTCTGGTTTTCCCTGAGCTGTGTACTGCCTTGATGAGATAAAGCATTATGGGACTATTCAAAATTTCGGAGAAGGTTTGAGTTCCGAGGATTTTAATTTTTGGATGTGTGACAAGCTGGATTTATGTGAACATTCCCTGTGGACTATTGTTAATTTTAGATTTGTCTACTTTTCATAAAGCTGGGGTTGCTGAGGCTTGGGTGGGGTCTGAGACAATTATGCTGTGGAAATATGTAAAAAGTCTATACTGTCACTGGTAGTGTTTATTCTGAGCTAGCTTTAGGTTTTGAGGTTTTTGTCCTTTTTATCTGTCTGTCGAGGATGGCTTCCTTGGGGAAGGAGGAGTAGGGAGGAGAGTAGTCCGCTCGGGCTTCTGAAACAGTAGTGTGTGTGGCTGCAGAAAGTTAATGTTTCAGTCCACATTGGTGTGAAGAGGCACAGTACCTAAAACTCAGAAACTCTGGCTGCCCTAGAATATTTCTGTAAGTAGTTCAGCAAAACAATACCTTTTCTTGGGGAGCTGAATTTTGCATGCATTTTAGAAAAGGTTACTGACCTTTCCGGTGTGAAGTTTTGTTTATAAGTTAATGTGGGTTTTAAGAAGACAGGTGCCTTTAAACTTTTTGGTTTGTGGCTTTAGAAGATAGGTTAACTGTACCATATTTAAGCAATATGCTTAACATGTGTATTTGACTTCATCATGAAATATATGAAAAAGTCATTGCAAATTACAGACATATCTAATATACAGACATATATACATACATATATGTTTATATGTACTTATTTCTTACTTACAGAACCAGGATTATTATACAAGTTTTCAAATACAGGTTTCTGACCCTTAGGGTATATAAAATGTCTCATTGGAGTGAATATGCCTGAATATATGTGTGTGATTTCATAAGCTTAAGATTTTTATTGTGATTCTTATGATTACTATGATTTATAATATCTTAGTATACTGCTACAGAAGTATATGTATTCCAACCTTAAATAAATAAATGTATGTATTTTGGATATATGTATACTACAAGTTTTTTTTCTTTTCCTCTTTGTGTTACTGGGGATTGAACCCAAGGCCTTTGTACTGAGCTGTATCCCCAGCACACCCTCCATCCCTTTTTAAAGTTTTGTAATGGGTTCTCACTAAGTAGCCCAGGCGTGGCTTCTGGTGATCTTCCGGCCTCAGCCTCCTAAAGTACTGGGATTACAGATCAGGTCCAGCACACATGCTACACCCAAGTTTTCTAGTGGTAAAAGTGGGTAAGCAAAAGGCTTTGGAGATCCCTGGTATAGGGGATAGTTTAGGGGTGAGTGCAAGAACCTCTGTATTGAGGAAGGAGAACTGTATTAAGAAGATTCGGTGTCTGAAGTAGGGGAAGCGAGAAGGGCAATGGGACGGGTTCAGGTGAGGGGCGCCCTTCCCCGTGGCTGGCAGTGTGCCCTCTCAGGGCCGCAGGAAGGGGAAATGATGAACCCAGCCGGTAGAGAGGGCTGGAGTGCAGGTGAACAGCAAGTCAGGCGCTGCAGAGGAAGCCTGGCGGGCACTGAGGCTTGGGAGCGCTTAGTCTGTTGGGGCTCTGGAGCCAGTGAGGGGCGGCAAGTGAAAGCAGCAGGCGGGGTGGTGTGGACCAGGCAGGGTGGTGTGGACCGGATGGTGTGCTTCCCTGTTTCTTCTCTGGCTTCCAGTTCTTTGAATGACACTTTCCCTTGGGCCCATTTAAAGGACAGAGTAGTTCTCATTCTTCTGAGGTGGCTCGCCTGGGGCGCCTTAGGGAAGCTCCTGGTATAGCTTCAGCCTCTTCACTGCCAGGAGGAAGCCTGGACTCCCTTGCTGGCTCAGCTGATGAATTCCAGTTAACACTGCACCTTCCAGGCCTTGGATTTCCCATCTGTCCTGCAAGCGGCGTCCTAATTTCCCTCACGCTGCAGCTGAATTGCTGCAGAGCACAGTTGTGATGGAGCAGTGCTGTGGTCCGGTTTGGCGAGCATCTGTGCTCTGCACCTGCCTGGAAGCGTGCAGATGCTGGGCCTGAGCTGGGCGGCCTGTGCCAGGAGCCTGTGCCGAGGCTGCTCCTGGGCAGGGTGCGACTCAGCTGTGCACCGAGTTGCATCTTGACAGCCGTCAGGGTACTTAGCCTCAGGGGCCAAAAAAATGCTGTGCTGAGTGGATATAAATCAAGAAGTTGGCATGGTCTTGCAGGTTCAGTGAATTGTCTCGTTGGGACACGTTTTTCAGTTCATAGAACAAATACCGAAGGAGATTGCACACAGTGTACTGTATGAGATGTGGTTAAAAAATACGGAAATTAGAAAGCTCGATTGCCATTAACCCCTTTAAGACCTCCTGCCTCACTTCAGACACATTTAGACTGGCATTTCTGCTGCTTTCTGAAGCAGTTCTGGCAGTCCTCTTTCATGAGTGTCTTTACAAGGTGTATGTTGAGTGCTGACTTTCTTTTTACTGGATCTGGTAGCATGGGACCCCTGGCTCTTCCCCAGTGTGAAAACTGTGGAAAGTAAACATTTTCAATAGATTCAGGATGTCAGGGCTGCCACCACTGTGCGCCTAGGCACTCCGTAAGGAGGCATGGTATTTTGAGGCAGAACAATGACATTGTAATTGCTGTAATAAATGTAAAAAAGGAAGCATTTGCCATTTTTTTTGTATCACACATACTGCATATTCTTCCTTTTTTAAAAAAGGTATTTGCTTATATTTTGGTACCAGGAATCCAACTCAGGACCTCATGCTCGCCAGGCAGGCTGCTGAGTACATCCCTGACCCTAAATGAGATGAATTTTTGGGGGGTACTAGGAGTTGAACTCATAACCTCATGTATACCAGGCAAGCACTGTGCTACTGAGTCTTGTCTTTTCTTTTTTAAAAATGTTTTCAATGTTTGTTGAAGACTAACTATACTTCCACTGCCTGGTGACCAAGCAAAACAAAATATACCAGTTGCAAGAATGTTAAAGTATAAAATAGTGATAAATCTCACCACAACATTTACAAGTCATATTCTTTTAATAAGTTTTTTTTGGTGGGGGGGGGTACCAGGAATTGAACTCACAATCTTGTGCTTGCCAGACAGGTGCTGTGCCACTGAGCTAAATCCCAGGTCCTCTTAATAGTTTTTTACTCTTTTTTTTTTTTTGCACAGGATCTCGCTGTGTAGTTCAACCTGGCTACAAACTTCCTGGGATCCTCCTGTGTCAGCCTCCCAAGTGCTG